GCTCACACGCAACCAAGTGGCTCTAATCCAACATCGTCGTTAATTTTGCTTCTTTGATGCAGCGATTTGAGATGAGCAAATCCGCAAGCGAGGCATAGGAATGGAAAGTTTAGCGCCTCCCGTATCCAGCGCGAAGTGCACGCAGCCCTATCGTAGCCCTGGAAACAGGCAAAATAAGGGTTTGTTGATTGGATCTGAGTTGTTTTGGTTTGTAGCAGATGTGGAGAAGATGGTAATGGTTGTGTGTATTTTGAAGAGTGTTTGGTTTGCCGTCGTACATACTGCGTCGAATGCACCGGATCCCATCTGAACTCCGAAGTTAAGCGGCGCAAGGCCCGGTTAGTACTGCGGTGGGGGACTCCGCGGGAATCCCTTTGGGTGATGACGGCCTCTTTTCTTTTTAATTTACACAATTCCCGTGCACACATTTTTTGCACGTTCCGCTTATTCCTCCACCAATTTCAACTCTTTATTCATGCCCACCACTGCTACCCACGCTTATGTATACAAAATGCACATGTCACTCGGACAAACGCTGTATCTGAGTGCTGCTTCTGCTGCTGCCGCTGCACCAGCTCTAGCAACAGCAACAGCTCTAGCAACAGTAGTAGCTCTAGCAGCAGCAGCACTTGTATACGCAGCAGCAGCAGTTTCAGCTGCCGCTGTGCTAGCTTTGGGAGCAGCGGCAGCTTTTGCCGCGGCGGCATGTTTATGAACAGCAGCAGTTGCTGCAGCTGTTGTTGTTGCTGTACTTCGCTGCAGCTGGAACTGCAGCAGCAGCATTTCGCTGTGGGGGAGGGCCGTTTCTTTGTACTTCTGACGCCAATGCGTCTATAGCAGAGGTTGGAGGCTGCAGCCTTTTCTTTTTTCGTTTCACTTTGTTTCTTTTCATTAGGCGGCTGCAGAAGAAGAGGAAGTATGGTAAAAACCCGCGCAGAATACGAGGGTTTAGGGCGTGTCAGCACGTGGTTAAGGGCTGACTGTCTGTTTGCAAGCAAATGAATGCATTTTTTTGCTTCGTTTGTTCGTGCCATTGGATTATTAAATTATTTTATTAATTGCAGAGCAAACAAACAGTTTATGCCAGCGCTACTTGTTATTGGGTTTGTGCTTTGTCTTCCTCTTTCGTTTGCTTGTTTATTCATAAGTACGATGGCTGCTTTCGCTATACAGCAACAAACGAAAGGAATTCAGTTTAAATTCCATGGCGGTTGGCAGCGCGGTGGGGCTGTTGAATACCCCCAGCAGGAGTAAGGGGCCAAATACATGCAAGCATATAATATATATATATATATATATTTATATATATGCACATAGATGTATAAGTACATAGATAGAGACGCAGACAAGCAAATAGAGTTCCTATGACCCAAATGGGAATGCATTGTCCGCGTGCATGCAAACAAGCAAGCAAATGCTGCAACTTTAATTGAACGGAAAGCGGAAGGCGAAACATGCAGATTAGCCTGGCGACAAATAGCGGAAACAGAAAAGAGGAGAAAGTTGCAGCAAATGGGGCTTTAAGGTTTTAAACACTAAAAGAAATTCAAAAAGATATACAAACCAAATATCCACTGTACAAACTCGAAGAACATTTTTTCCTATTGTCAAGGCGTGCATCAAACCGTAGGAAAAAAAGAAGAAAGACAGTAATGGGTTACTGCCACTGCCTCCAGTTGAGCATATATTATCATATTAACTGAAGAAGGCAAAGGCAAAACTAAAGATAAGGCAAGCAATAGGTGTTAAAAAGGAAAAGACGTATAAATCCAAAGAAGAAACGGAAATGAAATGATTGAATGTGCAGAGCATATACTATCATATTAACTGAAGTAGGCAAAAGGAAAGTAAAAATAGAGCAAGCAATAGGTGTTAAGACGTACAAATCCAAAGAAGAAACGGAAATGGAATGATTGAATGTGCAAGGCATGAATTATTTTCGGGTATATGCGTACCTTCATAAATAATTTTTTGGGCGCACCTTTTTGAATGATTTGTTTCAAGCGCTTCTGGTCTTTCCTCGCAGGTTTGCAGTTTCAGGAGGCCATGAAGAGAATTCACCAGTGAGGTTTAAAGGCGTCTTACGATGAGATCTGTCTCTATCTAATAAATCAGCGATGGTTTCTGCCCAGGGACCAGGTACGCCCATATCCAGGAGCTCTTGTGCAGGGCTTTGCAACGCAAGGCTTCTCGATGATTGTGTTTTGTCGATAAGGGATAAATATTCCTGTAAACCCTCTCCATTTGGTATATTATACGGAAGCCTTCCACCGGAGATAATAACATAGCAAGTCAAACCCACGGACCATGCGTCGTACTTGTCGCTTAAACACATCCAGCCCCCTCGCAACCAGCAGCGTGCATGCGTTGGATCCATGAATAAAAGCGTGATTTTTTCGCTGCATTTTCTTCTTTCTCCGATGCCTCCTACCATGCCGAAGTCTGCGAGGTGAATCGTTCCGTCTTTACCAATTAAAAAATTTTCAGGTTTCACATCTGCGTGGCAGAGGCCATTTGCATGCAACTTCGCTACAGTTTCAATCACTTGTGCGCATACAAAAACGCTCGCTTCCACAGGTAACCGATCTACGGTGTTGCCGTAGGGGCTGTTGTGTAGGAGATCAGCTCCATCTCCTGCCATTACTTTTGTTATCAGAACGGTATTAAAAAATAATGTTTCTTTGTGCAACAAGAGAGTCTCCTCAGGGTCTACCATTTCCGCTATGTATACAGGCAATACCCAGCGGTTTTCCTCAACAATCTTCCGCGCTGTCGTAGCCTTACTCCCTCCTCTTCCTGATGCTGCTGCTCCTTGTGCTGCTGCTGCTGCTTGTTTTAAGGGCTTAATTTCGCTCTGTATCATTTCTTGCATGTCCTGTAATATAAGGGTTTTTAATCTTTTAGTGATCTCTACGGGTTTTCCGAATGTGTAGTATTGCATTTTAATAGCCACTTCATCAAACCCCAAGACAGCAGCAATTCCTTCATCAACAACAGACGCCTTCATAACAACTGCTGTGCCTCCAGCCCCTAGAAAGCCTGTAATATTCACTTTGCATGCTTCTACAACAGTTATACCCGTAATGGGGTCTCTGACGTGGTACAAATATATGCCTGAGGCCTCCTCTTCAACGATTCTTAGCAAACTCTGCAGAATATCGTCTAAATGATGTTTATCTGCATTGTGCGTTGCTGCCTGCTTCTTGTCTGAAGCCTTCGCGGCTCTATTTACCTTCAGAGTATCCACCACCTGCTGCTGCACCTTCGGCAACGAAAGATTCGTCTTGCAGTGGGGTTTCTGGTGCTGCTGCTGTTTCGATGCACGGTTCTTAGCAGCAGCAGAAGCAGCAGAAGCTGCTGCTGCTGCTGCACCTGCTGTTCTGCCCCGTGTTGCTTGCAGCACCACATCAGCAAAAGAAGGCTTTCCCCCTCTTTGAAGCCCTCTTATAGCCTCTGCAAACTTCTTCCTTTCACCAGGAGATCTTTGATAAAAGGATATATGCTGCTGCTTCTCTTCTGCTGCTGCGGGAGGTGCTGCTTCTCCTCTGATAGCAGGTGAAGACAAACACAGGAAAAGAAATAAAGGCGCTAAGCCGCACAAGAAGACAAACAGTGGCGACCGCTTCATACCTCCCTTGTTTCCTTTGCAAGTTTTACGCAGGTTTTCTCTAAATTTGGGTCTTGCTTTTTCTCCTTTGTTGCTTGTTAAGGAGATAATACCACTAGGAAACTCAGCTCATCTCCTTGCTTACAGCAGAAGAGCGCAAACGGCAGTGCATCTGCCTTTGATTTCACGAGGAATACTTCAAAATGTACTTTAAATAAATTGGTTTTAATGAAATAATGAAAGAATTTGAAATTAATTTGACAACTTTTCGCGTAGGCTGTCTGTACAGTTTGCCTCCGCAAGGCGACCACTCGCACAGGGATATCGCAATCAGCAGGCAGGCGGTTGTTTTGGGTTTGAAATAAGATTAATTTAGGTATAAAACTCCCCAAAAAGGATGCAAATGCAACTAAAATAAAAGAAATTTAATAATAATGCAAGGAAGCATAAACACTGCTGTACGGATAGGCAAACAAAACGTGACCGGCGAGATCAGGAGTAGGGGACTCTTTCATACGCTGTATAAAACCTTCAAAATTCTCTTCTTCGTTTAATTAATTAATTAAATAATCTTTAAATAACCTAAAAATAAATTAATTAATATTAATTAACTAATTTTAATTCATTGATCTCTCATTCCATGCATTTTCCTCAAGTTAAAGCTTCAGAGAGACTCCGAGCTGGAGACAGAATCTGAACGAACGAACGCCCGGGTGATCAGCAGATGAAAACATAATTGAAAAGGATACGATTTACTTTTATTTACTTTTATTTATTTTTAATTGTTCAAATTTGTTTTTATTATTTGTTGCATTTATTTATTTTTAGTTAGACATTGTATTGTGTGTATTTCGCGGGTTTTGTCTGCACTGCATTGCCCACCCGTGATGACCTCAGAGAATTTGCATCAGCAGCGAGTGCTTAAAATGCTTTGTTTAACCTTTAATTATTGAATTAAATTGAATATTAAAAAAAGAAAGCCATTTACTTTTCTGAATCTGCTGAGGGCTTGTGTTGAAATAAATAATAATGCATTTCAAGCAGCATCAAATATTATTTTTCTCACCCCATAACGCGAAGAAAACCCTACAAAGCAAAACGTTCATAGAAAAAATTTAAAACTGAGTCCTTTAGCAGTGGCATTACTGTAATAATACTATTTTATCTCCCCGATTTGTAGATGTGTGTCTACGAGGGCACGTAGTAGTGCATGCACGCATCAGCATATCTGTTGGCTTGTTTATACGCAGTAACAAGGGCAGCACCAGCAGCACCAGCAGGATGTTGTGCTGCATTTTCGAGGAGACAGAATCTGATGTGTCTCTTTCTGTCTCCTCAGCCGTTGTTGCGCGGCTGCTATGCTATGACAGAAGAGGAATTTGGATAGAACAGCTTCTAGTGCTTCTATCATTTCACTTTAATTTAACTTTGTCTTATGTTTTATGCGAGCCCATGACTGTCTGCTCTGTGAGGCCTATGCAGCAGCAATTCTTCAGCCCCACTGTCTGTATTTATTCATTTAATTATTTATTGGATTTTATTTACATTACGTATTTATTAGTCCATTTGGAGTTCATGCGTCTATCTTGCCGCCTTTAAGCTGCTGCTTCTCTCTACATACCTAGCTCTATATATATATATATATGGAGCTATGTATGTATTTACATTAACATATATTCAAACATAAATATTCTTTTCTGAGTTTTGTTTGGTGGAGACGGCGAAAAAGGAATGCCTTTTAAATATTTAAGCAAATAAATACCCCTTTAAGGGCCCCCATAGATAATAAAATATCTATTTTGTAGATACGCAAACGTATATATATATATATATATATATGTGTACATATATATGCATATTAATATATGCATATATATATACGGAAATATATATATATATATATATATAGATGCATATATACTATAGCGCACATTATATATCAGATATATCATACAAAAAATATATAATATCGGTATATATACAAACATATGTATATATGTGCATGAAGATAGATATGCAAATCTAAATACATGTGTGTAAAGACGTATATATATATATATATATATATCCAATACGTAAAAAAAGATATACATAATTATATAATACA